ATCAAATAAATGATTTTTTAAGCAATCATGGTGTAAAGCTTTAAAGTTAGATTCTTTTCATAAAGTTCGGGCCTAAACTTAAGAAAACAGTAACTGAAATATGCAGACAAAGGACAATTGTCCTTGTATGGATATAACTAGTCGAATTGTCAGTTAAACGTAAAATAGCGATATCCCAGTTTTTTTAAACAGAGATACCTCAGTTTTAAATAGTGATGATATGAGCATACAAAATATTGTGTATGGGCAATTAAAATAACGAGTCTTACGTTGCTCGCTTGTGGCGCTGTCTTTGGGCTGTTCTGATAAAGAAAAAAAAACAAAGCAAGAGAGACCGCTCGCCGGTCCGCGCGTGAAACTGATATGAGGTTACCGCTATTCAGCTTTTAACGCTTCGTGTTATGCAATTTCAAACGAGGTTTTTTGTTGACACATATTAAAACATGCTAGTACGCAGTGGCTTAAGTTATTATACTGAATTTTCGGCAAGGGTTCATAATAAAAATAAATAAATAAATAAAACATTAAATGTCTTAAAATTGAACAAAAAAAAAAATAACAAATTGAATACCATGACGCGATTCGAACTCACGACTTGGTTCCATACATCGCTAGCCGAAAGCACCATCCATGCGACGATGTTCTATTATTATCGTGGTAAAACTTTAACAACATAGATCATCAAAGCAAAATGGTGTATTTCAGCATTCTGTGTGTGTTTTTATATGGAACGCCAAAAAAGCAACATTCAACGAATACAAGATATTCCCTTACACCAATTAACACTACTGCTGTTTTATCTCAATCGAAACTAAATCGAAACTATTCGCGACGCTCACACACTGGGTAAGCGAGCAAAGCGAGTGCATTCTCTAGTGGCAATAATTAAAATCCTTTGCTAAAACCCCAGTTTTGTTTTGTTTTGTAGGTGAATGGGGCACCCTGGGGTTCAACTTTAAAAAAAAAGACCATGATCGTTTGTTGGAAATCACCTCATCACAGAACAAAATTTCCTGCACGTCTGTTCAAAACTTGCGACGCTTGACTCTTTAACAACAACAGAAATGAGGTTCTGTGGACTCAAAAAATGAAAAAAACAGTCGACAGTAGAACCTAGGCTACTAGGATACTGATTGCAATTATAAACGTTATGAAACGTGATTATTATTAAATTTGTCAACATGCATATTTTACTTGTAATGAAACATTCAGGATTAATGAGGAATAATAATAATGATAAAGATAAGAAATGTATCGCGATTGTTTACTAGAGTATCAACAATTTTTTTCTTAACGAAAGGATCCATTAAAAAATATTGAGAATGCAGGAGTGTAATGCATTCTTAAAACAAACGTTTAAGTTTGTTTTCTTAGTTAAGCATTGATTGATTTATTTTGTAGTTTTAAGTATTAATCGTACACGTCGGATATGGCAAGACTAGACGTTACAGATGAAAATGTCATTGCAACATTGTATGACATATGTATTATTGAATTTAGATTTCTCTTTTCAATTTGATTTTTTTTTCATTTGAAGGTTTGATTTTCAATTTCTATTTGATTTTTTTTATTTCTTATTTGTTTTCACTTTGTTTCAATTTTATTCTTCATTTATTAATTGGAATTTTTTATTGTTCAATTCTGGAATGCGAGGCTAGGTCGTTAAATCAAGTGTTTAGCGATCCTGTATTTACGGTAGTGGCTGTCGGCACTGCCGCAGTGCCGATTTGGCACTGCCGCAGTGCCAAAAATAACTGCTGTTTTCTATCGGCACTGCCGCAGTGCCAAAAAGCTGCCGTTTTCTATCGGCACTGCCGCAGTGCCAAAAAGTTGCTGTTTTCTATCGGCACTGTCACAGTGCGAAAAGCTGCTGTTAATTAATCGAATTGATGTTTTTATCGACAGATGACATTGGTATAATTCATAATTCATAATTTATTTCACTCAAAACGTAATGAGACTGGTTACAAGACACCTTCCAGAGAAACAATGATAATGTTAATGACAAAGGCGTAATAATAATAATAATAATAATAATAATTATAATAATAATAATAATAATAATAATATTAATAATAATAATAATAATAC